TGGTTTTCTTGCTATTGCTTGTTGCTGCTCTGGTTTATTTCTTGTTTCCAAGTTAGTCAGCTGTATTTCTGTGTTTTTTTATCTTTTCCTTAGTGCTCTAAGTATTTTTTAATTGTGTGTTTTAATGTTATCTTGTGTTTTTGCTTCCTGTAAATTTCAGTCGGGAGATCTACAAAAAAGAGTTCAGAGATGGAATATGTAATGCATATTTATTGTTTTTGATTACCTAATTATTCTATATATGCATATTAATTATTTTTTTTTTCTTACAAAAATTGGAATTAGTTTTTATTTATAAATATCTTTACTATATTTGAACTATTTATACCATTAATCCTTTTTTTATTAGACACTTTTGAAGGCTGTCTTTTAGTCAGCAAAGCATTGTCTTCTATATTTATAGCTTTTACAAAATTTATTTCTCCACTTCATGCAAGTAGCATTCCAATAATTTAATAAAAATTTGTTATTAAAAAAAGCAAATCATAAAAGTGCATTTAATAATAATGTTTAGAAACAATAGTAATATAATAATTCTATACTTACTTACAAATATTTCAACAACAAAAATATGATAAATATGAAAGTACAACTTAGAATTATTTTAGAAACAAGTATGATAGCATTTGTACTTATGCACTAATGTTTCAGTAGAGAAATAAAAAAAAATTTGTAATATCAAATTGCAAAACCAATTAAAAATAAATGCAATGAAATTTATACTTACAAGCTAATAATAATCCAACATGTAAATACAGTGAAAGTGAGTTAAGTGAATATGTTGTTGAAAATGAGTTAAGCGAATATGTTGAAAATGAGTTAAGTGAATATAATGAAAGTAAGTTAAGTGAATGTTTTGTTAAAAGTGAGTCAAGTAATTATATTGTTGAAATAAGTCAAATGAATATGTTATTGAAAATAAGTCAAACAAATATGTTGTTAAAGTAAATTAAGCGAATAATTTTGTTAAAGTAAATCAAATGAATAATTTTGTTGAAGTAAATCAAGCGAATAATTTTGTTAAAGTGAATCAGGTAAATAATTTTGTTAAAGTGAATCAAGTGAATAATTTTGTTAAAGTGAATCAAGTGAATAATTTTGTTGAAAAGAATCAAGTGAATATTTTGTTGAAGTGAATCAAGTGAATATTTTTGTTAAAGTGAATCATTCAAATATATAAAAGTGAGTCATATAAACATGTAAAAGTGAGAGTTAAAAAAAAATCAATTTAGAAACAAATTTAATACATTTATATTTGCAAGCTAATAATTTAACAAAAAATAGCAAAAGCAACTAGAGCAAATTAAAGATGATATTTTAGTATACCTGAAAGTATAACTACATAGCATGTAGTTAGAATTTTGAGGTTTTTTAGATTTGTCTAATAACTCATCGGTATTGTTGAAATCCCTATTTTGATTTTGGAGAGTAGTTAATGGAAGTTATAAAGAAGATGCCGATGCTACAATAGTATCATTCATATTTGTTGAAATTGGAGTTTCAACTTCCAAGTCATAAATTTGATCAGTAGTCTGAGTGTGTAATTAAAAATTAATATAGTAGTGTTTTTTTTTTTGAGATAATACATTTAGCCTTTTACTTAAGTCTAAGACTAGTTACAAATTCTTGAAGAGTTTCATTTGATTCTGAATAAGTAGAAGCATGAAAGATGGATTGTATAAAATCACTCAATTTAACCAATTGTTCTTAATTTATAAGTAGTTAATAAAGTTATTATGTATAAGAAAAATAACAACTATAATTAGTATTATATGTACCAGTTTTACTTTTTTTGTTGTAAAGTGAATAATTATTTATTTTGTGTTTCACTGTGTCACCTATTTAAAAATAATTAATTATGCCTACATGCATACTTTATAAACTATAATTTTATGCATATATCTATGTATGTTTGTTATTTATTATTTCTCATATCATTCATCTAGTGGCCTAGTCAAATGTTGTAACAGAAAATTATGTGTTCTTTTGCTTGAACTAAAATAAGAGTTTTTTTGTTTAACTATTTTAAGCAATCAACAATACAATTAAATTATGATTATATTTGC